ATTTTTTAAAATTATAAAAAATGTAAATATTTTTATATTTTACAAAAATAAAGAAAAATGATAATAAGTGTCAAAATATTTATTTTAAATAGCTAATGATTATTATCTTATTTTTTCACTCCTGAATGCCAATTTTGGTGAGAATTGCATCACCATTCCCCCTGTGAATTGGTACCAAAATATAACGAATTTACTACTTTCAAGCTCCGTATCTATTCAACATAAAAATATTTCTTATATATTTGTATCTCTAATTTTTAGTATAATTGAACAATAACAAAAAATCCGAGATCAAATGTTTGACCAAGTTTTGAAATAGCTAGATCACAGAATGGGAAGGAAGTGTCTGAAGTGTCGTCTAGACTCTAGACGGTAATGATGAAGGAAGCAGTGGGAGTGAGAGCGGGTTTTCACAAGAGGCGCTCTCTTTGGCAATAATGGCAAATTTGCTCTCGCGGTGACTGTAAATTAACATGGGAACTGGGTAAACTGTCTACTCACCGGACGGGTGACTTCTTAGCTGTGCGTTTGCAAGATCTCTAACATAAATTTGCTATATTATATAGTATTATCATGATGATTATTAGGTAGGGCCTACACATAATGTGCAGCTTGTCGAAGATTCCCACTTTAAACCTATCTGTATGTGCCCTAAGTTATAACCTATACAGTACCTATTATAACTGCAGGAGAATATTTGTTGCTAGTAACATTCTTGTATGAGTTTAACGGTTTTCTATTTAACATACGTTTAAATCATAATTAAACGCTGAAAATATCATATACTTGATCAGGCGTAAACTAATGAGAAGAGTTTAATAGTTTAAAAACATTTTGTTTAGAATATAAGATTCCAAAATTTATTTCCTTCCATGTGATGTATTATATATTTACTAGTGGTCATCCAGTGGTCGAAAACTCGACCAAATATATGTAATGTACAGACTTCTCTATTTCCACCCCTCGCTGTAAATAACACAGGTATTTGAATTTCTTCAATTTGTTTAGATTTTCTATTTCGTCACCACCATAAGGCCCATGTTAATTTTTTAAAAATTTAAATTCATTTGATGTAGTTAATTTTGAGCCTACTTTAATTTATAAAGGGATTCTGCACATCTACAGAAAAATACATTTCTAACGGTAGGCCTACGCGTAGATTATCCTTGCGATGCACACGAGCTGAGAAAAGAGGTCTTAAAGAAACGTTCTTGCCTATAAATATATAGATGTTGTTTGGCACAAATTCAGCATATTCTTGTACATGTACATATCAAAAACATATTGTACATATGAAGTTTATATTAATTTTTATTGCGTTTGTATACCTTATCGTTCCAATATTTACGAGCTAAGCATAGTCAACTATACTATAAACAACACCTACTATAAACTACATAAACAAAGTGGTTTTATGCAACAGCTTTGTTAAGCATTTTCATCAGTTAAAATGTAATTACAGACGAGGATGAACAAGGATGAAGAGGATAGCAAGTGGTATAAGATGGGCATAAGGTGTTATCTAAAATTCACATTTTCTCCAATGACCACAAATGATCAAATGTCACAACTCAATGATAATTTTAAGAATTTGAACTACTCAAACTGTATTTTAAGGCACAGACTCACGCAACGTAGTAGTTCAAATACTGTAGATAATTTTGGAAACACACTACACTGTATCACATTAACACATTATAATATCTCTAATTTAAAAAATCGAAATCAAAATGTTAAATTTACAGACGAAATATAAGATACCGATTGCCACGAAACAAACGACCAACTGACAAACTGAGGGAAGAAACGTTATTATTTCTCGTTGCGAGTAAGTATTTATTTATTAACAACTGACGTCAGATACAGTATTCCAGTGTCGTTAAAAAAGTAATCTGACGTACGACGGTATTGTATTATTGTATAACGCTCCGTTTTCTAATAAACCAACATGATGAACAACTAATAATTCTCGTAATGTTAATTTTGTTTTCAGTCTACTCAATGTCAATCATCAACAATATTAAATTCAATCCTAACCAACCGGACAGGTTGTAATGTCAAAGAGAAATCATACTTTTACTGTCGTGTTATCTGCTATGTTACATTTCGAAATTAACCTTTTAATGACGTCACAACCAACGGGGTTCTTAAAGTCTTGGTCTTATATCATAATAGTCTTGTTTTATTTTTCCCCATATACATAACATTAGGTAGAACTTTTTATTTGAGTTTTGGGTTGATATCACTTATCGTTTTTGGTCCCCCTGAACCCAAAAGGGGGTTTCGAAGTGATGTCTGTGCGTGTGGATGTGTACAGAGCTACATACCGCATCTGTGGTCCTATTTTGATAAAAAAATTATGCGGGTATGTTTATTTTTAATGATGATTTATCCATAAAAATCCACAAAATGACGGGAATTCGGATTAAAAAGGACTCGAACTATTTGTATTCAAATATAGTATGTTATATCCCTTTTAACTGTAGACAAAACTGTAACAGGATAACGGTAACGGTTAGGATCCCTCACATCAATTAGGTTTTCTTACCCCGTTTGGATTCCATAACCTCATTTAGGTTCTCTCGCTTCAGTTAGGTCCCCTTTCCTCAGTTAGGTTATTTAGTTCTTCTCATTTTTTTCATGTTAATGCTTTTAAAATTAATTACTTTCTATAAATCACTGACCCAAAGGCTCAAATCAATAAATATATGCTCTACTATAAAACAACACATCCTCACACTCTTACTCTAGCGTACCTAAAAAATCTTACGAAACCCCACACACTTCTTTAACCTCTTTGCTCAGACACTCGCCAAAACACAGCTGATATTTGACCAGTTTTTCTTAAACACCTTAAAACGGATAATTTCCTCCAACTGTGTATCATTACTGGAGGGGTGGCAACTACCCATGTTAACGTGAAGGGTGACATGACATGTTAGCTGCTCGTCTGTCTCAGCATCTGTCACGTGATTAATTCTCGTCTGGGCAACGCTTCCTCCCGATGATCTATTGTTGTCTTTTCCTGTTCCCAGATCTTTGCTAAATGCGGTAGAATTTGCCTGACTCGGAATTGGTACATGTACAATTTACAAAGCTAGTATAAAACACCCGATTGCCTATTGGTGTATTTCTTTTTAAGATCTCCGCCAAATGAATGCGGTGGTCTAGCGAAAATCTTGAAACATGTACAAAACTTATAATAAATTGACAGAGTCTCAACCAAGGGTTTGCGTAATTATGTTCATGACAAAACAAACAAAACATGTTAAAATTAACTTAACTGAAGTTGAGGAAAAAGCAATATGTCTGGTACCTTAACGTGCCCTACTGAGTGCAGAATGGATTTGTTTACGCCCCATTTAAAAATAATATCATTGTTAAAGATGTAATAGGCCAAAACGAATGTCCATAAATTACCATCAAATAAACAGGGATATAATATATGTGTCTGCGGCTGCGGAAGGTACTGTCATCATAAACGCTAGGTTGACAGTTTAACTGGCCGTAGCTGGCTCGTGCCGGCGTGTCTCAGCTGACTATAAACTCTTTAGTCAACGTCTGTATACATCGGCAGCTATGAGAATTTACTTAACAAATCTCAAGTCCACTTTTCATCCCTAAAACCAAACGTAAAGCGTGTCGTGTTTTCCATATCCCGTTACGGGATGGTCATATGACTAGAATAAAATTAATAATTATTAGTGCGCTAATGCCAACTTTATATCCCCCAAGAGTAATGCTTAGATTTTAAAATTAATACCGAATTGAAAAAAAAAATTGTCTCCATGACCACATTCAACACTAACCGAATCATAAACATGCCATAGTAGGCTTTAGACTTTACTATAGGATGAGAAACATATTTGCATATAGCCATAGCCATCGCCATTCGAATGCGGCTAGTAGACTTTTATAGATTGTAAAATACTGATGATGTTTGATGCAGAGAACAAAGGTGGTCTGGTGTGGTCTAACACGATTCAAGTACAGTAGTCATGTTTGTAATTTAATTTTAAGCGGTCTCGCCGATACGCCGATTTTGTTATTCGAATTATCGAAAAAAATCAGTTTAACGACGATTAATCAACTATTGCAAACACTGTTAAGCAGACTTATTTCATCTGTGATTGGTTTGTATATTTGTAATTTATGGTGCAGCCAAAAACATCGTAATGTGTAGTATTTCAAAAGTCACCTCCTTTATTAGTTATCTCTTTGTTACTCTCTATTTTCTATATCTATCAGTTTATATTATTGTTTTCATCACTTTGTTTTTTCAGTTTTCCTGTTGTATTTTTATAACAAACGATTAGTCCATTGATGTAATTTAAATGTGGTTCTTTGGTTTTAAAGTAAGTTTAAACGGTAAGGCGAGGAAACCTAACTGAAAGGAGGGGACCTAACAGATGTGAGGAAACCTAACTGAGGTAAGGGATTCTAACTGAGATGAGGGGACCTAACTGATGTGAGGAAACTTAACTGAGGTAAGGGATCCTAACTGAACATAAGTGAGGTGAGAAAATCTAATGGTAATGAGGCAATTCAACCGGGGCGAGGGAACTTATCTGAGATGAGGGCGAGCCTGCAGTTTGCATGTGATGTACTATGGACCCGAGAGATAATTGCTTTACCCTTACACGCGGGGGAATTTTTCTCTTCCTTGCGTCCCCAATCCCCCTAAAATTGCTTGCACCCCTGGTCTTATTTACTAAAGCGGCCCAGGGTGAGAACTTTGGTGATGGGAATACAGATATCATTGGAAGGGTGCTACAGTTTATTGGTACAGTACTTGAAATAAAAGGGCTCTGGAGCTCACAGCGGAGTTTGGAAAAGCCTACAATACTAGGAAGACCGAAAATCAATCTCTACTACACCATATAATTAACCTCTACCACACCACGATATCAATCTCTACATAAAACTGAGCAATACATAAATGTTAAGTAATTGATACAAAATAACTAGGTACTAGGATAGAAGGTAAAAAATGAGACACCTTTAGAGTTGCTATACTCTATATTTACAACCCAAAAATAACACAGTGTAAAGGAGTTTCTCCATTTTAAACATGTCACTACCGTAAATAATAATGTTTTTGAATGTTTAAATAATACATGCCTAAGCCTAATACCACTGTATATCCTACAACCTAATAGATTACATTAAACCCATGAGGTTATTTTTATCACAACCTATTAAGATGGTAATAGTGTTTATAAAAGCATTTATAAAGTTGGATAAGTTTTTTTTTTTAACAGGCCACTACAAAAATGAAAGCATTATTTAATTACTATAAATAGTTGTGGTTTAACTTAGACATGGTTACAGTAGACTTCCTCTTACCGGGCTCCTCGGGACCAAGGCCAGTCCGGATAATGGTTTTTGTGGTTAAACTGACGTCAACTCGGCCACTCGAAAACTAACAAAAAAGTTTTACTTAAATTTGGGAGAGCAATTTAGACGCAAAATCATTGGTCCCAATTATTTCCGAAAATTCTTTTTAGATCCGCCCAATTACTGCCAATCTAGTACGGTTAAACCGATTTGCTGATAAAAATGGTTTTGTTTGAGAGATTTCACTCCTGCTGAGTGCCTGATAAACTGTATTATATATGTGTTCGGTTAAGAGGGAGTCACTGTATACTATAATGTTGGCAGAAATGTCAAGCAATTCGCTCTGGCAATGTGTTTTATTTGACAAGGTTTTCAAAACTATAAAGCTACCTACAAAATAACACCAATGTGATACCTGCTTTGTAGTAGGGCATGTATAATAAATAGTGCAATACTGTACATAGTGGAACAAATAAGTAAATTAATAGGGAACAGTGAATATAAAGTAAAAACTTTCAATTATATCATGAAAACTATATTACTGACATACGTTAGTCATCTTACAACACAGCCACAAAATTCTATTTACACAAACACAAACGTGATCATCAATAACGAAATAAAAATAAAAAAATAAACTCTATTATAAAGTAAAATATCATGCTTTGGTAAAACTAAATTAAATTAAGTTTCCATCCTTAAAACCCTGGAAAGTAAATTAAAGGAAAATTTAGTTACTATCAGATATTATAGCTTATACTTCTACTTGTTATTTCAGAACACCAAATGCTGTAACTGACCAAATGCTGTTTTGTTTTGCACTAAGAATGTTAACCAAAATAATACATCCTAGAAAACTAATGATAAGAAAATTCCCAATGTTAACAGTAAATCTACCACATTTTGATTTTTGATATTGTATGAACTCTATCTCTACTGAGCTACTTTAAATAATGTTGACAATAGTTGCCCTTTTCAACCACACATATTAAAAATACTTGTTTTGTTGAATGTCAGTACATAGTGTAAATAGATAAAAAAATATTTTTTTTAATTAAAGCTTTAACAAAACCCAATATGAAATATAGGCAAAAAACCCATAATCATAAAATTAAACTTAAAATAATGGTAATCTTATTTACAACATAATATTTCAAGGAGAAACAATCAATAGCAAAAGAGATGATCTCAAAACATGGTTTGTTTCTCCGAGAGAAAAATAGAAGCATCGGTCCACCCAAAAGCATCAACGTGCACAAAGATAGACTATTAGTACAAGTAACATGCTTATAACAAATATTTTAATTATTTTTTTTTAAAGGATTTTGTGTTAGAAATATACATAAAAAACATGAGTAGAAATTGTAGTAAACAATAAAATAGTCAAGGAAAAGTCTTAACAACAGTCGAGACTCCAATTTTTGGTTATCTAACCTCTTATGCCATCTCCTCTATGTATAAGATTAAGTATTGTAAGATTGTGGTAATTTCCAAGTGGAATGACTGTATATTGTAATGGTTGAGAAAGCTCCTTTGCCGTCTTTTACTGTACTCGGGAGATATGCACCAGGCCTTAGGTGCATGCACTTGACTGTAATTTCCTATTTTTACATGCTGCATAACACCATAACCTAAAAACACCCCATGGTTCATCAACCTGCTTCACTACAGGTTTTCTAGGTTTTCTGTGTTATCCGACCTTTTTGCTTATCCGATCTCGACACGGCCAATTTAGGTCAGATAACTGAGACTCTACTATATTTGTTATTTTACCAAATAAAAATTTAATTAATATTTAATGAATACATGGTGAACGTGTTTTTAAGAACTTTTAAGAGAATTCACAGAGAAGTAAGGTACAGAGGAAACATTCGTACCACAACTAGGGGTCTCAATCCCGGGCCTTCAATCCAATCCCGGGATTTCGGGATTCGTCTCAGCCGATCCCGGGATCAATCCTGGGATTATATAATATTATGATTTTTTACTTTTTAGCCATTTTAAATGAGCGAGAAGTCCCCTTGTTGAGTACTTTAATGTTTCAAACTTTGGCCAGTGTTACAAGTGTAACACTGCGCAATGTTTCCATTTTCTAAGTAAATAAATATTACCACACGGAACTTTCATTGCCCGTATTTCTTATTTACAGTGTATAAATGTTGATATGTCACTCTAGAGTATAATAAATACATTTAAAAAAATCACGAGCAACCGCACTCGTACGTAGCCTATAAGTCACGCTCACGCTAATAGATAGATTAAAGATAGCTAAGAGAAAAAAAATAAAATAGGAAGAATCACGAGTAGCAGCGTAAAATTTTTTTTTTTGACTTACAGCAATAAAACAATATAAGATACTGTAAAACAATAAACCATATGCTTATGTAGTAGCGTGTGTATGAAAAACGTAATTTTAGATTGTAAGAAATTTAATCACCACACTAATAACCAAATACGAAGATAAAAGTTATACACCCTAAATATAAGCGATCTTAATAATGAGATTATAATCGTGTGTTTATAGTTATATTTTATGGCTTCCATGAAAATAATACTTAAATTTCCGATTGCAATGTTATGTTTGCTACACGAATTGCATTGTTTACTAATGTCAAAAGTAAAACTCAAAATAACATGAAGGCCTACTGTAATTAGGTTCTAAATAATGTAATAACAATTACAGAAAGTAAATCCAAATCGTCTAAAAACTGAAACATATATTTAGGCCTGAATGTAGGCCTATTTGAGTTTAATGATAATTAAATTTTCCAATCAAAAAATATCATTAGGCTACTTATACCATTTCATATAATCGTCCTAAAAATAAAGAGTATATGTGTTTCAAGTGTTACTGGACTATTTTTATTAATTTTCCGTAAGTAAAAGTCCTAAAATTCACAAAAAAAATCAATATAAACATAGGTTTTGCAATCCCGTTAATCCGTTAATCTTTTGATTAAAAGACACCAGTCCCGGGATTTCTAGGTATCAAAAATCGGCCGAGATCCCGGGATCCCGAATTGAGACCCCTAACCACAACGCTCATGGTGGAGGAAGACCCTGTACATAAGTGTGTTTCCTCTATACCTAACTTCTCTACGGAGAATTTAAATCCAACCAGACATATGAAAATGCCAACAATGTTCTAAAAGACAAAACTTTAAACTTTACTCAACTAAAATAGTTTCACAGGAAACTGTCAAAACGCAAGATAACAGACAATGTAAGGGGTTAAATGTCTACTAAGGCACGTTGTATAGCTTCATCACTCATCTACGATGTTAACCACATGACAAACTGGATGACATTCAAGAGGTTGGCCATTGGTGTAGCCGGAGGTGGTGGCAGTGGTTTACGAGATGGAGGTGGTACAGTAGCAGGGTAGAAGATGGGTTTATCTAGAGGACAGTTGCCATTGGGTTGCCAGTGGAATGAGTGGTGAAGTTTGATACCGTCACAGTCCACAAGGTTGATTGACTTGTCAAAGCATATCCTGATTTCTTGGAGGTAGTACTGTTTGGTTTTCTGAAACAGATTGAAAAGTTTGTATGTTTCTAAAAGAGGCTTAAACGGAAAATAAGGAATGATGTTTGACTACTGTAAGATCTCCCTAATTTACTTTTAAGTTCAAACTAGGCGTGTTAAGAGTCCTTGGAGGCTAGCGGCCATCTTGGATGATTTCAAACTGCTTCTGAAGAGTTATTTATCGTCCAAAAAATTGTTTCTAACATAAAAGTGATTATAATTTAAATATCTAGTATACTGTGGGATTAGAAATGTTCTTTGTAGTTTTGAATTGTTCTCCAGGGGAGTCCATAGAAGCTAGCCGCCATATTGGATTTGCTAGCCACAAGAGCATTGTTAATTTTGTTAATTCCAACAGCTGCTGAAGAGTTATTTACCATCTCAAAATATTTGTTCAAACACCAGAGTGATTGTAATTTAAATATCTAGTATACTGTGGGATTAGAAATTGTCTTTGTAGTTCTTTAACTATTTTACAAGTTAGAACAACTAGGCTCCAAGGACTCTTAAGAAGAAACACTATGTAAATACAGTTAACGGGCAGTAAAAATCAATTTATTATACCAAATTTAATCATTCATTTAAGGTTAACCCTAGTTTTAACAGGCCTCCCTAGAAAAATAATCACACTCATTAACAAATTCGCTGCGATTGTATGATAGCCTGCCACAGATGGTTATAGGAACAGCCAATGCTCAATGCTCAGTGTGAATGAGTGCACAAAGATTTTTATTTGTTCAATAGAAGATGCACAGTATAGTAGGTACTGTGTTCCAGTTGTTATGGCCGAAGGTCTACAAGAAACGAAAAGATGCACTGAACCAAATTACTAACAAACACACAGTATTGCAAAATGCAGGCAAAAGCAGGGGTGAAATACTTGGATAAACTAACAAAAAACACTGCAAAAAATGTGCCAAGCGAAAAAAAAAACTGATTAACCCTAGGAGTGGCAGACCTTTTTTTGAAAATTCGTAAAAATTCAACCGTACAAGTAAACCTAGCCAACCTCATATTCATTTTGTTCGGAAAGAACAGGAGAATCTAGAAATAGTAATATCATAATGATTTAGATAGTGTATTTTAACGGTAAAGTGAAAAAAATAAAAAAATGAATTTTTTTTTGAAATTTCAAAAGCGGCCTCGGTATTTTTTTTCTACGGATTTTTTTATGGGAAATTCATTATATACATTTTGTAGACAATCTAATTCCCTACATAGAAATATATAACATGTTAAGAAAATATTTTTTTTTTTGTAAGTTTTGGGGCGAAATATAATGACAAACAGAGAACCGAAAAAATTGAAAACCGTACAGTGTTAGTTTATGTTGTAAAAAGTTCTATAATATATGTATATACTAATAATGATATATACATGTTTGTAAAGCTAATGAAGTAAGGAATCAAAAAAGTCATAAAGTTTATGGTAAAAATAACTTTTTACCTATAAACATACGTATATAAAATAATGTTTTTATATTTTAGCGATTTCTCGAGAAAAAAAATTCACAGTACTTAGTATACAACTTTTGTACCAAATTTTTTTACTTCAAACCAACATAAATCTTGTAGTGTATTCAATTATCTACATAAAAATGTATAACATGTTAGAAATATTTTTTTGTAGGTACGTAATAGGGACATAATAATACAATAACCGCAAAACAGCAAATAAGTGTAAACTATAGCCTACATATACAGTGTTTGCTTGTGTTGTGAAACATTATGTAGGCTGATGATATGTAGCCTACATATTTATAAAGCTAATGAAATAAGGAATCCAAAAAAGTCATAAGTATGATGGTAAAAAGTTATTTTCACCTATGATTAGGCTATGTATCAATTTGAGAACGTTTTGAATTTTTTGCGTATTTCGAGAAAATGGAGTGTACAGTATTTAGTAGCCTAGCCTATATAATTTTTTTACCAAATTTTTTACACCCAAACCAATATAAACATGTTGTAGTGTATTTATTTACCTTTATAAAAATGTATAACACCTTGGGTATATCATTATATAGGTACAACAATCTCTGAATGACAGAAACGTCATTTTAGGACATGATGCTAACAAAATACAGTAGTAGGCCTATTTATTATAGGCTATAACTTTTTTACAAAATTGTTTACCCCCAAACCATTATAAACATGTTGTAGTGTATTCATTTACCTTTATAAAAATGTATAACACCTTGGGTATATCATTATATAGGTACAACAATCTCTGAATGTCAGAATCGTCATTTTAGGACATGATGCTAACAAAATACAACCTTTTATGAACACTATTTCACACAATTCAGTAATATTTATGCATGAAGATTACTGTTATACACACACACAACACTTCACTAACACTAACACTACGAACTAATAACATATTTAGTAATAAATCGCGGATAAAACTATTACCGGCAACAACACAAACAAACAATGGCAATACAAGACAGCTGACAGACTGTAGCAGTAATGACTCACTTCCATCGTCTACATGCGAGCATACAGAAATAACCCTGAGTGCAGGGCTGCCACTCTCTGAATCTAAATTTCTTCCTCTTCAAAATGATATACTATATGACTAGTAATAATAACTTTCACTGTATATAATTTGTATTTTCCATACTGTCACCAGACGACTGTTGGCCATTTGTTAGAAATTTCGAAAACAGCTGTTTTCATAAAATCGTACCGATTGTGCAATCAATATTTAGTTATAAATATCACTACCACAATGAAGATAAAATCAATGGCTATCCAGTGGTACCACCCGCAACATCCCAAGACGAAAATTACCCGAGCAGGGTAATGCCAAACAAGACATGTTTTGCCAGTTCCCAAGTGTCGGCTGCAAAAGTCGTACCGCGCCAAAATTTCATTTGATTTCTAATCGTCGTGACATTGTTATATACCTGCTACAGGGTTTGTTTTATGTAATCAAATGAAAGTTCAGAATGTGATCTTTCGAATGGTATATATATTATTCTCATCTGAGTTGATTGTAAGTGTTTTTTTTACCGTTAAAAAAATTTCGGCCCATACCGTCACCAGACGATGGTTGGCCACTGCTAGGGTTAAGTTTGAGTCTATGTTCCTTTCAAAATGCTACATTGAATGTTTTTAGGATAATGCTAGCCGACTACTGACATTTTTATATTCAGATGACAGGACCCGGGAGATCCCGCGCATAGCACTCTTGGACAACCATGGCGCGCAAGATTACCTGTAGGCAGCATCCAATGTGTTTAACATTAGGCCTATAAATATAGAAAATTTTTAATATTCAACCAACAGCATTTTCCACCAACGCGGGTGTTACTCCCACCCATTGGCCATTACAAGGGTTGTTGACAAGCTAATCAGTGGAGAAGGTATGTGTCAGTTTGCTGATACCATTTATTTTCACTTAGTTTATCTCAACTCACCTTATCATGGACACAGTGTATGGAAGGGTTAACCCCGAGAGTTGTCTTAATAGCCAACCAGATTGAGGTTAGGTCAGTAGGCGAGTCTGAGTCAGGGTAAACACTGGCTTTGCCTAGAACTCCCTTCATGTTAAACTTTTGAAGCAAGTCCAATCCTGTCTGGAAGTAACCGATTTCTGGGGGAAAAAAACTTTATAGATTAGCTACATTCAGACAAAAAGAAAATACCTTAAGTTTTGACGGTTGTGTCCTAATTGCGAACAGTCCAGATTGCGAACAAGGGTAAAATCGTCCAGACTGCGAACAAATATTTTGGAATCTGTAAAGATGGTTTAGTCGCTGTTGTTGAACGTGAGTTTTAATTGATTCTTTTTGATGTTTTTAGGTAATTGAGTTGGGAATGTGATTGAATGATTGATGTTGTAATGTGTAATGCATATACATGTTATTTCGGATGTATTTGTTTTAGTTGCTATTTAAATTCCTCGTTGAAGATGTTTTTTTAGGTAATGATTGAGTTTGGATTGTGATATTGGAAAATGCATGTAATTTCGGCTAATTATGTTAAACTATAGTATTAATGTAAAATGATTGTTTATTTTTTTCACTCTGAGATTGTTTAGTTATTGTAGTTGCTTGTTCAAGTCAAACATATTAGCCTACAGTATAATTAATTTTAAATAAATAACCACTTTAAATATTATCAGAACGGATTTGTGAGTCTGAAAGAATCTGTCTGTTAATATACAAGCGGCTTTACGTAAAATTATACTACGTCTCATAAAGATGATATGTGTCTTCAAGAACATTCATCCTCTCCATTATGTATATTACCAGTCTTAATTTATGATTTAGGCTAAATTATTCTGTTAAGTGTTTCTATGAAAGGGTTGAAAACCCCGACCACTCAAAATTTGTTCGCAATCAGGAATCCTCCCAACCCTACGGACGACCCCATCCACCTCGTAGACCCAAACTTGTTCGCATTCTGGACTGTTCGCAATCAGGAGGACACCGTTTTGACTACACAGAAGAAATTTATGTGCTACAAGCTTTGACTATTGAGTCACAAGTTTTTTTTTCAAAATGGATGTAGTTGAGTTGAGCCACTCAACTGTGTGTTGATGTAAATCAGTAATATCTATCGAATAAGTGGGATCTTTAACCAAGTCAAACTGGTAGGACCACTTATTGTAAGCAATTCTATCTTTTATGCCATGCAATCTATATCAGTAACAAAACAATACATTTTGTCCTAAAAACAACAATAAAATAGTAAAGTAGGAAATAGAATTTTAACACAAGCACACTCTGTGACTGGCTGATTCAACTAGGTACATTTTGAATACAAAACTGGCAATTCGTCTCTGTGGTAAGGCATGCCTTGATCACTTATGTGATGGCCCAAGATGGACTCGGTGTCTGCGGTGTCAGATCTGGCTGCTGACCAAAGACTCGTCTCTTCTGTCTCATCATCACTGGCACGAAGAGAAGATCTCTGGGGGATTCACTGGATTGCCTTCTCAACCTAACTCCAATTGACATGCATGTCGTCAAGGTCACTGTGTGGAAGACTTTCTACAGACTCCAGTGTGAAAACCGTTGGTTGGATGTAGGAGGATCCCGAGGCCACTCTCCGATCCCTCAAACGGTAAGAGGGGAGGTTCTGGACATGCCTTCGGACCACATGCCAATTCCATTCCTCTTCGCCAAGCCATTCACCATCCAGAGATGAGTGGATGTCGCGAGAAAATCCTCTTCCACAGATTCGTATACCGATGGTTCAAAAGTAAGAAGTGGGACGGGGGCTGGAATTCACAGTGTGCAGAATGGGGAGGACTTATGAACCAAAAATTAACACTTGATTTACTTTTAGTGTCCAAAAACCAATGCTACTAACCAGTGGGAATGAAACACTTTTGTTGGCACGTACGATGTAGAACTATCAACATTATTAACCTTTTCCTCCAACATCATCAAAACTATCACTACTTGTCCCTTGCACAATTAAGTGTGGGAAACTTTTTTCATTTAAAGATTTTAGCTAGTTTACTCTTTTTGTTTTTTCCATGTTATTCGAACTTTCTGTTTAGCCAAACCTGCCACAACTGGATTGGATAGAATTATCGAGATGGTACTGTAATACTTTAGATGCGAGAATGAAAGCATCCAATCGATATCTTCTTCTTGAGTTCTGCTGCCTTTGACCTACCTGTTGGTAAATAATGAGATCACAACTTTATTTATATATCACTGTATTCAAAACACAGTAGTAGAGTTTTGGAAACCCAAAAAATTAGAAATATGTTACGTTGTTATTTATGTTTGCAATTTTGTATTTAGAGTACTTATTGTTGTTCAAATAAAAATCTTCCCTGTGACTCAATTCATGTACAGTAGAGTTCCGATAGTTCGAAATGGTTGGGATCAGACCCATTTCTGATTACCAAATATTTAGAACTAAGCAAAGTTTATATTTTTTAATACACTTTTCTACTTTGGACGCTAGGCACAAGCCCGGGATTGTTTTTCACATTACTTCAGGCTAGACCTAGGGGTTGCGGCATTATCACTGAGATAAAATCCTTTGGTGATTTGTCAGGATTTGAACCTGGGACCTCAGGGACCGAAGCCCCGCGCTAACCATTAGACCAGCTTTCTCATCTAAGTGAAATGTTAACTAAAATACTCTATAAAACAAGTACATTTCTCGCCCGGAAACTACAGAAAGCTTCGACGGCGAATACTTTGCTAAGTGACAGCTTGTACTTAATAAATTAAAAAAGTAAAAAATATTGGTAAATCCTTTTTGGTTTCGGATTAAGCGGAGGTTTGGATTACCGATGTTCTGATTATCGGGAATCCACTGTATTTCCAGTAAAAATGCTTTCGTGAATAAAGAAGATTATTATTGTATTTAAATTTATTTATTTTACACTAAGCTATTAATATTTTACTAAAAACACACTTTATTACCCTCCTTGTAGCAGCAAACCTAAGTACTTATTAAACCTAATGTTATTTAAATGGATTTAAGTGTAAATCAAATCAGGCAAATGGAAATTCGTTCAGTCAGCAGGTTTGGTGCGGCGGGGGTATTTGTTACTGAGGTAGTCGATGTGATAAAAAAGATGCTAGGCCTATAGCTTACAATAAGTAGTCCTATGAGTATGATTTGGTTAAAAGCCTGCGTATTCGACGGAAATCAATAACTTACATCAGTCGGCTTACTTCAACAACGTCAATTTTTATTCAAAACTGGTAACAACTTAAACATGGGAATGGAATGCATAGTTCTATCATCAGTCAAGGATAATCAACAATATCACAGACCTGTACTCAATTGAGGAACTGAGGCTGAACAGGTCCCATGCTTTCGCCACTCGTGTCTCCAGAAAGAGTTGGCTGGTTCTGGGATCTCCACATCTATCCAGTACTCTGTTAGGTTGTTCATGATTGGAGCAAGCTGTGAGGCGTTAAAATGCAACGAAGAATTGCAGAACGATGGACCAATCGTGCCAAGTTTTGTCGGCCTGTAAAAATATTGAGTTAGTAATTTGAGTTAGTCAATAAATTAATCACAACTTTATAAGTGCATTAAATACAACGAATTGTGTCAATATACTGTTGCGGGCTTAACGGGTTCTTTACAATAAAACTTGGCGATTTTATAATAGCTATTTTATTTACACTAATAACTATCTATTTACAAATATTACAATTACCTAACACCTAACTAACCCTATCTAAACCTAGCTAATGCCTATTCTAATTTACAACGTTTCTACTTACAGCTAGCCTCTACAGGATTTATCACTACTTCTGTTACAACACTGTCACTACACTGTCACTAGTGTCACTTCACTGTATCTACACCGTCACTACACTGTCACTGCCACTAGCACTAGCACTGGTCACTAACACCGACGGGTAGATGACAATATCAAACTAAACAAAAGATTTGACGAGTTTATTAAGACTGGAAAGCCAAATTCTATGCATGACCTTGACCAAGGTCAACCAGGTGTAGGCCTAGATGTGAATAATGTAGGTGGGATTAAGTCTTGTCAGCAATTTCCCATAGTAGATCAGGACAAAAATTGTGTAAATAATCAGACATTATCTGACTCAAACCGTAGCTTGATAACTGAAACCATCCCCGGTGGTAGGCCTACTAAGCCTAAACTTGGTCAACCTAGACCTAGACCTCTGAATACTAGTTTTGCCGGAATAGTGAAAAATCCGCCTGTTGTCAAAAAGGTAGCTAATAAGAAACCTATCATTGGCACAAAAACTGATTTTGGGTCTAATGAAGGCAGTTCTAGCCTTAAAATTGTGGAGAAGAAATCGTGGTTGTTTATCTCTCGATGTCAACCAGAGGTAACTGAAAAAGTTATAGTGGACTATGTGACACGAGGTGGTATTAAAAGTGTTGACTGTGTCAAACTAACCTCTAAGTATCCGACGTATGCATCTTTCAAGGTAGGTGTACCAATTAATGACTTTGACGGTATCTTGAATGCTGATTTTTGGCCTGTAGGGACTCTAATTAGGGAATTCACTCCTAGAAAACCTGGTCCTACACATGTGAAGCCTTTTTTAGGTCAATAGTTTGCAAAGATCGTGTTGAGTCTACTGATTCTGAAATAGACTGTGTCAGGCTTAACCTATGTTTGATTAATGTTCAGTGTTTGCGGAATAAGACAATCGAACTTGAATTATTATGCTCTGACAATCAAGTAGATTTCCTTATGGTCTGTGAACATCAGTTGCTTGAAGATGAAATTGAATACTATAAAAGTATTGGTAACTTGGAACTAATTAATAGTTTTTGTCGTACGTCTGCAACTGGAGGCGTGGCTCTGTACTTCAATAATAGACTTAATTACTCTGTCAAGCCTCTGGACCTCTCAATGTACAGTGTAGAAAAAGAGGTTGAATTTTCTGCTTCAATTATTACAGACTTGTCATTGGTGGTTGTAACTATGTACCGATCACCAAGCGGTAAAATGGGTAATTTCTTTGATATACTGGAAAAATGTTTAGTATTTTTGTTGACACTAGGGAGGTATGTGATAATAGGTACCGATCATAATGTGAACCCTGTCTATTTCCCCAGTGATGCCAAGGACTTTGAGAACCTATTGCGAAGCTTTGATTTGTACGGTGTGATATCCGAGGCCACTCGTGGTGTTGCTCCTCTAGACAATATATTTACTAACATGTGTAAGACTGATTTTAAAGCAGGTGTAAGCAGAGATCAGGTGGCTGATCACAAACATGTATTTATGTACATAAACCTTCACCGTGTACATATAAATAGTCTTTGTTCTGTAGACAAGTTTGTTGATTTCAGGTCTTTTAATGACGATGCAGTACTAAATTTTACTGAATCGTTGCAGTCAAGGGCTGTTAGTGGCTTACACTTGGCCCACACTATGTTTTCTTCTCCCGAAGACTGTTTTGAGTTTTTCCTAAATAGTTTTAAATGTATTTTTGATTTCTGTTTTCCTCTAAAGAAAAAAAGAATCTCACAGCCTAAAACTAAATTGCACGCTACACCTAGCAAGATTGATTGGTATAATGAGGATTTAGCTCATCTGAAGAACTGGATCATGCTGGTCCATGAGCAGTCCACGAGTCAGCCTGAGTTACTGCCCTTGGTAAGAAGTCTGCGCAGGGAGTATCGCCACGGCATTAAAAGCGCAAAAATTTCTGCAAACGCTGCTTTCATCACAGGCTCATCCAACCCATGTAAGGCAGCTTGGAGTTTGATTAATCACAGCAGACCTCGACCAACAGTGAACTTGGAGTCGAAGTTCTCAGCAACTGATTTTAATGTATTTTTTATCCAAAGTGTCAACGATATTGTTGGGAAAATACCTGATATACCTTTTGTAGATGCCAATTTTACTGTTAATATTCCCAGGGTAAACACAAGTTTCTCTTTCACTCCCACAAAACCAAATGATATTGTAAAGATTGTTCACAACTTCAAAGCCTCTAAAAGTAGGGATGTTTATGATTTGTCAACAGATATTGTTAAGCAAGTTATACACACAGTTGCACCTGAGCTCACAATTCTGATAAACAACTGTCTTGCAACTGGTTGTTTCCCAGATGCCCTAAAAGTAGCTAAAACAGTCCCAATTTATAAAAAAGGTCCCCGTGAAAGTTTGTCTAGTTACAGACCTGTGTCTATCATACCTGTTTTTGCCAAAGTTATGGAATCTGTAATGTTCTCTCAAATGTATTCCTACTTTGAGGAGAACAATCTCCTAGTTCCCTCACAGTTTGGCTTTAGGAAAGCCAAATCGACAATATTAGCTGTAGAGTCCTTGGTGTGTGAAATTATCAAGTCTTTTGAGTCCAAAAAGTCAACACACGCAATTCTTTGCGACTTGTCACGTGCTTTTGACTGCATTCCTCACAATGCCCTTCTGGTAAAACTTAAATTCTATGGTCTAGGAGATGTTGCCCTCAAAGTGGTTTCCTCTTACCTGTCAAATAGGAAACAAGTTGTTAGTTGGAATGGGACTTTTTCAGAGAAAGGTGATGTGCTCCATGGAGTTCCCCAAGGCTCTATCTTGGGACCCCTCTTATTTTTGATTGCCATTAATGATTTGCATTACCATGTTAATAGTCACATTATTCTATTTGCAGACGACACAACTTTATTTTCGTCTGATAAAAACTGGTTCCTGGCTCAGTCAGCAGTGCATGACTCTTTGGCCTTGGCTCAGCAATGGTTCATTTTAAACAAATTAGCTCTTAATGATTTGAAAACCCAGGAAATAACTTTCAGCCTTTTGCCTAATGTACCTGAAAGTTTGTCTGTAAAACTGTTAGGTTTTGTACTGGATCCCAAGCTGTCTTGGGAAGGTCACATAGATGTCCTGTGTAAGATACTTAGCAGAGTGTTGTTCCTGCTTAGAAAGCTAATGTCTGAGCTTCCAAGGCCAACAGTTAGGCAGGCCTACCATGCTTTCTTTCAGTCTATTTTGGCCTATGGAACCAGGCTGTGGGGCCATGCCACTGGTACTCAGAGAATTCTTTTAATTCAAAAGAGAGCTGTTAGAGTAATTTCAAATGCTGGGTACCTTGACCATTGCAGACCTTTGTTTGTTGAAAATGAAATTTTGACCATTGTGAATGAGTACATTTTTCAGTGTCTGGTGGCAATAAAAGCCAGACAGGACTCTCTTCATGTAAATAGCGATGTACATAGTTATGATACTAGAAATAAGTTTGATATCTTTGTACCTAGAAATAGGCTTCAAAAATCATTGTGTTCTTTTCCTGTTTCAGGCATTAAACTTTTCAACTAATTGCCCCAAAGTACAAGAAATTTACACACAAAAAAATTCTCCACTTTTGTAAAAAATTGGCTCACTCTAAATCCTTTTTACCACATATCCGAATTTTTCAACTGTGACAAAAGCAATCTGGTGGTAACCATTTGAGTCATTTTCAGGTACACCTGCATGGTTTGTGCATGTTTTCTTGTTTTGTTTTTTGACTAGAGCTTATTTATTTGAATTGTTTGTTGATGAATTTGATTTTGCATGTTTTGTTTATTTAAATGACGAGCCTATTGTACTTGTTGTATTTAATGGCAATAAAGACTTTGACTTTGACTTTGACTTTGACGGGCGCTTGCCGCGACGATTCTCGGAAGGCTCAACTCAACTCAACTGCCGTGTGCCGGAAGACGGTCCCTTATATAAGTTTACCGTGGAACATTCTGGAGACCCCTAGTAGCTTAGACAAAGGTGTTTACAGATCACCGTGGAAGCTTCTGGTGGATGTCAAAGACCCTATTGACGTAGTCCGTTGACATGGGTCTATTGTCTTTCGGAGAACCCCGTGTTGACAACAACCCTTTTGAGACGGCGCCTGGCTATTGTTGCGCGGGACTCCTGACTTGTAACACTACCCCCTCCTTAAGACTTGTTCTGTCCCAGAACAGATTTCTCTCGAAGCTTGAGATCTTCTGGACCAATGTCTCCGGTCCCCCACGGGTTGAATACGCAGACCACAATGTCGATGCAGTGTCCTCAAAAAGTTCCTGCACCATATTTCTTACAATCTTCCATTCCAATCCATCATAACCACATCCCAGCCTGGGAATAGCAAGGTTTTTCATTCCAATCCGAAGAATTTTGTCTCGCAGGTCTTGCAGGCTTTTCTTCAACGATTCATAGGAGGGCTTCTTACTTGACGTTTCCTTCGTAACGAGGTAGAACAAATGCTGGCCGTTGCGCTTCAGGTGAAGGGTCGTGCCAATGGTGGGGCTCTGACGCTCAAGATCTTCGGTCCCTCCAAACTTTTTCCTGAAGACTGTGGCTATACCTCGCGACGCTCTCAGATCTTCTGCTAAGCAAAGCAGTGTGCCAAGGCATATTTCACTGGCAAGGTGAAGAGGTCCTTATATAACAGCCTCAATTCCTCATTTCCACGTTTTTCAGTCACGATATCTCTTGGCTCGGTTGAGAGGTTCCGAACTTGTTGTTCCTCTTGTTTGCCGTGATCT